CCCTGCTTCTGGGTTCTGGCAGGGGTGGTGGCTCTGGGCTGCAGCATCACCAGGCCCTTGCAAGGGGACACCAGGGTGCATGGGGCCAGGAGGGAAAGGACAGGCACTGGTGGCACTGCCCACCGTGTGTCCCGGCAGCCCCAGGGCTGGCAGCTGCTCCCCCCGAGCTGGGAGAGTGGCTGGTCCCTATGCCATGCTGGGAGGATGTGGGGGTGCTAACGGAGCCCCCCCCTTTCCCAGCTGTTGGGATGCATCTGTGTTGAGAGAGGTGTAGGCTGGTCCCTTGGAGCTGGTGGCATCAGCTGGGGGAGCCGAGAGATGGGGCTATGGGCAGGGGCTGTGCTGTGCCCGTGCCAGAGGCTCGGGGACAGCATGGGCATGGTGCCTGGTGGGGGACAAGACCCTGTGGGTACATGCCAGCCAGCTGGGGGGCACCCAGGCTATGGCACAGGGCCAGTGGAGCAAACCCCAAAGGGGTGGTTGGTGGCCAGGGCAGCACAGGGCAGGGTGGTAGGGACAGCTCTGCCTGCAGCGGGGCTCTGCCTGCAGCCTGCCGCAGCACTGTGCTGCAGCCATGCCTGCAGGTCTGATGCCTGCAGGTCTGTGGTCACACAGCTCCTGTCCCCATCCCCATCCCTGTCCCCATCCCACCCCGCCTGCTCCCCTCGCTTGCCTCCGCCAAGCGGGAAGTGCCAGCCTGTCCCTGCGGGGAAGGAGAGCACTCAGCCGTGCTGCAGGAGCCTGCTTGCTACCCAGATGAGAAGTGACAGCAAGGGACCCTTCTCAGGTACAGGCTTCCTGCAGCACAGGGCAGGAGATACTGTTCCCCTCTCCCCCTCCTCTGCTGCTGGCACTGGGAACAGCCCTGCAGGCATTTAACCCCTTCCCCTCCGTGCAGACCCCTCCATGCCCCCCTCCCTGCCGTGCAAACCAGCTGTTGGAGGGCAGCACCCCAGCATGGGCAGGCAGCACCAGCACTGCCATGCCTGTCTGCCCCATGCTGCAGGGACAGCAGGCAAGGAACAGGATGGGGCCCTGAGGCCAGGAGCAAGACCCATGAGTGCAGCCCCGCTGCTGTGCCCTGCCAGGCACAGCAGCCCAAGCATCGAGGGGTCCACGGGTCCCTCGCCTCCCACATCTCCCACACTGGCTGCTGTCTCCCAGGAGGTTGTCATGGGAACGGTGTGCTGTAGGTACCCCTCAGCCTGGGTACCCCTCCTCACATGGCATGGTGATTCTGGATCAAGGGCAAGCTCAGCCTGTGTCCTTACCAGGGCCAAGCAGAGTGGGCAGAGAGGGCACAGGGCACCTCGTGGGGGCCCATCCCTCTGCGGATGCTCGGGGGATGCTGGCGGTACCCAGCAATGGAGGTCCCCTACGTGCCCACATCCCCCTTGCAAGCACCCAGAGCATCCCTGCGGCCCTGGAACAGGCAATGGGGCAGGGCGGTGGGCGCAGGCACCACGGGAACAGTGTGGCACAGCCCCAGCACCGGCAGCCATGCTGCCTGCCCACTCCCACGGTGAGCCAGCGCTGCCTGTTCTTCCCCGGCCCACGCGCCCTGCCATGGAGCCAGCAGCTCGTTCCCCAGTTACTTTGTGGGATTTTAACCCTGCAGCACCCACTGGTTGCAACAAGATGGGTGCAGGCACCCATCCTGGCACCAGGTGCGTGCCGCGGGCAGAAGGCAGGATCTGTCCTTGCTGCTGGAGCCGTCAGAGCTGGTGGCGCAGGGAGAGGCCGGGCTGGCAGCCTGCCGAGTCGAGGCGCGGGCCGGCAGTGCCTGGCCCTGGCTGCATGCCAGCTGCCGGCAAGGTGACCCTGCACGAGCACCCAGCACCACCAACCCACACCACCCACCCAGAGAGGGGGACACAGGTCCCCATCCCTGCACCAGCCCAGCACCGTGCTGCTGTCCCCAGCCCCACTGTGCCCCAC